GAGTGGTTAAGGCGATGGACTAGAAATCCATTGGGGTCTCCCCGCGCAGGTTCGAATCCTGCCGACTACGCATAGTTTTCTTTCAACTCACTGACAACATTTCTCTTAGGTCCAGTTGGTCCCCTGAAAAATTACCCTTTCTGGAAGCCTAGCCTCGGGTAGTGTGCCGACAATTTACCGTGGGGAAATTCTGGTGAGACCTATGATGTATACAGTAACATTAGTATTTCTCAAATTGATTCCAAGTCAGATTAAATTTCCTACACAATAATTTCTAACAGAAATAGATAGCTTCATCTATTCTTACACCGAGTGGTAGATAGATTTAAAATAATTACTCTACTTTCTATATGCTGTAAACGGTACACCACTGGAATATCTTTGTTTTCCTCGGTACACCACTGGAATATCTTTGTTTTCCTTTCTTTTTCTCATTTTTTAAAAACAAGTAACGAAAGCTTATGTAGATCGTCAGAAAATCAGATAGGAGTAACCAGGATGTTGCAGGTCCTGGTTAGCATGGAAACGTTAATCACGTATCATGCGAGCTCCAATCATCATATTATCACTGCTCTCCAAAAGGAGGAACAGGTAAGGATTAACCTTACTGACGATAAACAGAAGTGGTGTGTCATTCTGCACTTAGTGAAAAAGATTCTGCTTTTAGCTAGGGTGAGTATAAAATCGTTGGCCCAGGCAACTTAACCTTAGTTAGGTTTCGCCATTCCTGTAGCTACCTTTTTCTGTGGATCTTTTAGAATCTATATATTTTTACATTCAGCTTCCCAAAAACAAATAAACCAATTCCTCCCAGACTGCTCCACAAACTTACGTGCTGGGAGAAGGACCCGGACGCAGCCCCTAATTTACATATCTCCGCCCCCTTCCATCAGACTCGTACCGTAATAACCAAAATAAAAGCGACACCTGCAATCACATGGTCTGCAAGTCTGGAAAACTCAGGTTTCTTCAGTGTTGGCCACCTCGATTCTCCCTTGACATTTTTACCACAAGTCTCTTTTTTTCCCAATATTTTATTGTTTTAGGTGAAAGTTTTACACAGCATATTATTAGGTTCCCATTTAACACTTGTACAAATTGTTGCGTGGCATTAGCTACAATGTTCACAATGTGTCAGCATTCTCATTACAGTATTTCCCATCTGTTTGTTCTGTTTCCATTTATCTAATTTCCCTGCCCCTCCTTGCCTTTTCAACTTTGCTTATGACCGTTGGTCTCCTAGAATTATTATTTTTTTTTTTTAAGAGAGCACATTCCTTAAGGGTGATAATGTTTGACATTTATTTTTGTATTTCTAAATTGTATTATAAAAATTTCAAACACAAAGACTAGTACAATGAACTGCCATGTGCCCATAACCTGGTTTCAAAAACTATCAATTAATGGCTATCGTTTGACATTTTTAAGTTAAGTCTTGATCTTATTATACATTCTATTATAAATTGCTAAATAAAACTTGAATAATCCCAGACTCGGGAGTATATCAATTCGGGAGATAATTATCCCAACAGTGACATCATCTTTGAGATGTCGTTTCAGGGTGAGGAAAGAAGTCTATCCCTTCCTGCCCCTTGCTCCTCCAGCCTTCATCCCTCCATTCCAGTCTTGAAGGTGATCACAAAGGTTTCTTTTTCAGTCCAAAGATAGCGACGAATAATGCCATTTCAGTGACAGCTGGGAGGGCGCTGGGGGAGGTAGGTGGTGGATTCAGGGACCCTTAAAAATACCCAAATCCCCAAACCAGAGACCCCACCCTCAAAGTGTAGGGAGAAGGGACTTAAGGATGTTGAGTGGATCTGGCATGTCACACATGGGGGCAGGTTCCAATTTGGGGTAAACCTTCCTTCCCTATCCCCAAGTACCTCACCTGCAGAAGGCAAAAATGTACCAGTATGTGGTGCACTCCCAACGCTCAAGTACGAAGAAGGATAGTGCCACAGATGCGCTACAGTGTGCCGTGATGGCTCGGGCACACGCTGGAGTTAAGGAAAGCCTTGGTATGTAGTGATGGGCCAAAGTGGGGCTGCCATCTGGACCCAGGTGAATCTCTAGCTCCCTCACCACACTGCAAGCGTCAGAGCCCAAAGTCCAGCCTTCTACGTTTTAGAACAGCCCTGTGAGGAGGGGTTGGAGCTGAGGATGCACACCTGGGACCCCAGGCCACTCCCACCCCATAACCCGGGGGAGCTCCAGGTGAGGGAAGAGTAGGTGCCCCATCTCCCCAGAGGCCACACAGGAATGCTCACAGAAACTTGATGGACTCAGCTGGAATCGCCCTCTACCTCCCTGGGATCTCTGGCCCACAATTCAGGTGTCCAGAGCCTTCCCTAATCTATGTCCCTCACTTCCTCTTGTCTCTCTTGAGTTCCCACAGTGCTTTATATCCTCTTACACAATCCTATAGCACAGTGCTTATTAGAGAGGTTTGTCTTCTCTTAAAGGTTGTTGTTGTTATGTGCCGTTGAGTCGGCCCCGACTCATAGCGACCCCTCCTTGGGTTTCCCAGGCAGTATCATTACAGAAGTAGGATTGCCCAACCTTCCTTCCGAGGAGGAGCTGGTGGGTTTGAACCGCCAGTCTTCTGGTTAGCAGTCAAGTGCCTTAGGCACTATGCTACCAGAGCTCCTTCTTGGTGGTATTTTATTCCCATTTCTGGATCTCCAGTGTCTGGTGTGTAGCAGGGGCTTAACACATATTTGAAGAATGTATTAAAAGCTTTCACATTGCCTAAGAAGATGGCTCAACTGCAGAAATTTTGTTTACCCCCTCGGGCAAACACTATTGTGCCAGAAAAGGCAAGTTAGGTAGCTTAGCAGAACAGTGATGGAAACGGGGCGTGTAGGAAAAGAGAGCAAGTGGAAAGGATACAGATGAGGCTCTGGGTGCTGTTGAATGTGGAAACTCCTGAGAAGAAACCGGCCAACTCCACCGCAAAGAGGCCCAGGGTGACAGACAGGGCTGCCACTAGCCTGCAAAGAGGAAGGGAGCTGGGTCAGTTATCCGGACTTTTTCTAACATCCCTCCACTCCCATCACCGCTTCACTGTGACCATCCCCCTCCAAGAGCTCACTGAATATCCTGCTTCTTGTACTCCTCGGGGGTGAACGTGAGAGGCAGGCAGGCCTGGATGTTGCTGTCCTGGGAGCCCGGCAGAGAGGAAGAAAAGTGTGAAAGAGGGGCGGACTGCAGGTCAGGCATGGGGCGGCTAGGGATGGAGGAACAGGAACAGGTTGATGCAGAAAAGTCCTAGGTAACGGGCGGGGTAGGGCTGGGACCTTAGGTCTTACCCGCGACCAGAACAAAGTGATGACGATCACCAGATGTGCCAGAAGCGTCAGGAAACGAGAGGGCACGAGTCCCGAGACCTGGCCCATGGCCCCTGGGGACAGGAGCACCACCCGGACCAGAGGCCTTGATCTCTTGAGGCTGGAAGTTCTAAATCGGTCACTCTTGAAGTCCCCCCAACACACACCACAAGCGCGCAAAAACTCACACGCCTCCTTTCACCGCCCTTGGCACCGCCCAGTTGCCTTGGCAACTGCGTAAATCAAGGCTGTCCTCGGATCTCTAGAAATCTCGCGAGAGCAGTAGTTTCCCAAGCCGCCATGGGCTTCCTGGACAGCGTAAATTCGGGTTCCGCGGGAGGTGGTAGCGAGACAGAGCTGAGTGGACCGCTAGTTCCTCGCTTATAGCACGCCCGTCTGTACATGAGACTGTGTAGTGTGGCGGGGCCTCGCACCGCCGAATCTGCCCACGCCCGGCGGGCGAAAGGAAAACGTCCTCCTGCCAACTGCGCACACAGGGATGACCCGGCCTCTAACCTCGGCTACGGTGCCAGGATGAACCACGCCAGGTTTAGGGCACTGGCGTTTATGTATACCCAGATATAGAGCAAATGTCTGGGTGGAAGTACGTGAAAATTCTGTGTAGTCCTTTTTTAGTAAATCAAGTTATTGATTTATTTTTATTTTAAACCAACGCAACCTTTGACAAGCTGTTTTGTAGATAACGACAAAATAATTCTAAGTTTATATGGATTGCTTAGTTTTTTTACATTTTGATTTATAATTATGTTAAACATATGATTAACATTACATAGTGGAATCTACCCAAATAAAGTACATTTAGAGGGTTAGTGGCCCCCCATCCCCATACCAGACCACACAGAATCCTTAGTTTGTTACCAATTTTAATCATAGAGTAATATGTGATAAAAATAGTTGTAAATTGCTAAATTGAATATTTATTAGATTATATGAATACTAACACCAAATTGTTTTATAAAATCTACATTGAATTACAACATTATTAGTAACTGGGTGGAACCTTTTTTTTTTTCCTCCTTTTAATTATTGCTTCATTCTCAAAAAAAGTTATCAATATAGGTTCACAAACACTACTTAGTACAATATTATAGCTAAAACACCAGAAAATTTGACAAAATCAGATGCTGTAAAAACACGCAGGAACGAAAATAGAGTGTGCAGACAAAAATGTGATTCCACGCTCACTGTAATTGATAATAATGACAGCTCTGACCAGAACATATTAGAGGTTTAAAAAGGTAAATTAGCATCCAGTTTTAGCTTTTGTTGTTATAACTATAGGGGTATATATATTTTTAAATTTCTGTTGTGATTTGGGTGAAA